AAGAGGCCCCTGTCCTGGCCCTGCCGGACGAGACGAAGCCGGCTAGCGTCGTCTGCGATGCCTCCGATTACGCCATCGGGTGTGCACTGCTGCAGGCCGACACGGCTGGACACGAACGAGGCATCTCGTTCCAGTCCAGGCAGCTCAAAGCCGCCGAGCGGAGCTACCCTGTCCACGACAAGGAGCTCCTGGCAATGAACTATGCCCTTGTGAAGTTTCGTGTTCACCTTCTGGGCTCTAGGCTCTTCGTGATCTACACAGACCAAGCATCCTTGAGGACGGCGACCAACTCGCCTCACCTCTCCCAAAAGATGGCGAGGTGGCTGTCCTTCTTCGCGGAATACAACTTCCGCGTCGAATACAAGCCGGGCAAGCTCAACGTGCTTGCGGACGCCCTCTCTCGGCGTCCTGACTATGAGTTGGTCCACATCACGCGGGTGACAACGGATCTATATGATCGGATACGCACGGCGTATCAGGACGATGAGGCTGTCGCGCCTATCGTCAAGTTCTTTATGACTGGAACGAGCGCGAAGTCCGACTGGCTCTCGTCGCGACAGCGCTCACGGATCCACCGATATGAGTTGAAGGATGGCCTCCCCTATTACCGGGTGGAGCCCAGTGATCCTCCACGGGTGGTCGTACCCAACGACGAGGATCTGAAGTTCGATATCCTCGCGGAGGCGCACGACGCGCCCTCCAGCGGCCACTTGGGCCGCGAGAAGACCTTTCTGTCGGTCTCTCAGTCCTTCGGGTGGACCCACATGTACAAGTGGGTCGCCCGGTACGTTAAGACATGCGAAACATGTCAGCGGGTCAAAGCCGCAGGGCACTCTTCGGCCCCACTCCAGAGCCTGCCCGTACCGGCTGACTGTTGGAAGTCGATGAGTCTTGACTTCATCTTTGGGCTTCTCGCCGACGGACATGGCAACACCGGAATGTTGGTGCTCGTGTGTCGGCTAAGCAAGATGGTACATCTTGCTCCGGTTCCCGTCACTGTTACGGGCGAACAAACCGCAATGTTGTTCGTTGATGGCGTGTTCCGCTATCACGGTCTCCCGGAGATGATTGTCTCGGATCGAGACCCGCGGTTCACGGCTGCGTTTTGGAAAACGCTGTTCCCTTTGCTGGAAACTCGTCTGCAGATGCCCACTGCGGACCATCCGCAGACAGACGGCCAGACAGAGCGCGTCAATCGAGTTCTCGAGGACACTCTGCGCAGTGTGTGCGCGGCAGCACCACGTACGTGGTCGACGCAGCTTCCAGTTGTTGAGTTTGCGCTCAACAACACGGTGCACGCGCTCACAGGGTTCACGACGTTCTACGTGAACGGCTTCCGTCACCCCAGAGTGCCTCTCACTCTTCGAGGAGACACTGACTCCTCTATTCTAAGTGGGGGAGAGGCTCGGAAACCCCTTTTCTTCCAGGTCTCGGATGTTATACCAGTTTCGCTGCGGAAACAAGTGGAATCCTTTATGGATACCAAGCTGAGCGTTGTCAGCAGGGTCCGCGATGCCATGGCAGCGGCCCAAGATAAACAAAAGGAGTACTCCGACAAACATGGAAGAGGAAACTTAAGTATATTTAAGGTGGGGGACTTAGTGTTGCTAGACACGAGGAACCTACCTCTTGACACTGTCAGCTCTGTCGGAAGCAACAAGCTGAAGCACCGCTTCATCGGACCATTTGCAGTCCTGGCCAGACATGGTGCGTCGTACACCATCGACCTGCCAAAGTCAAATGACGACGCACCCGACGTTCTATGTTGGACGTCTTAAGCGGTACTTTGATCCGCAGGGGGTTGCTGACTCGCAGGCCCACCTTGACCCAGCTCCTCGAAGCGAGGGCCGGTCACAGACGTCGACAAGGGCGTCGGAGCAGGCACCCAAGCCTCGGTCGGAGCGGCAAGGCTACGGTCAAGACCGTACGCCGGAGGGGCTCCGTACGAGCGGACCCCGGCGCCATACGCCGAGTACGCTGAGTACGCCGGGTACGCACCATACGCGTACGTCTGAGAGTGTGCCGCAGGCGGCTCCGGACGTGGCAGCAGAGCCTCAATCCGTCGGATCATGCGAAAGGCCTCGTCTAGATCGGACGAAGAGGCCCGGCGATCCACCCGCAGGTGCAGGCTCGCGACCTCTCGCTCCAACAGGTCCAGGCGGCCCGCAAGACGAGCGAGCTCGCCCTGATTCCCGGCCTGGGCGGCAGCATCACCGCCAGTCCCAAGGCCAAGTGCAATCTCAAGCACGAGGACACGTTGACGGAGGCGGTCAACCTCAGGGCCCTCTGTCGGACCCGCAGTCGGAGCACTCGGACGAGAGTGGCGTTCGGGAGGCGCCGAGTACTCGTACTCGTACGAGGGCACCTCTGCCCCTGCTTGACCGGAATGGAGAAGTCCACTTCCACGAGGAGCGGATCCTTCAGGAGCAACGGCGTCGCGGTAAGCGACAGCTCCTCGTGAAGTGGAGGGGTTATGCCCACTCCGAGAAAGTTTAACTACTATTTTATTTTTAGGTGGATGGTTAGCATCGGCTCGTGGAAGCCGATTGAACGGCTCCTGATTGACTGCCCGAAGGCTGTCGCAATCTGGGAACAGAAGCGGTGGCAGCTTCATAAGTAGTCCGGGGCTTCTTGCCCGAACGGGGTACGGACGATGAATACATTCCGTACCCGCGCTCATCGTGAGCGCTGGAAGCCGCGCGCTTCAGGATGTCCCTTGGCAGCATGCGCTTGCTGACCAAGTGGGCAAACCGAACACGAAGATCACGCTGGTCCAGGATGCGGGACATCAGCTGATCTTCATGGAGTTCCCGTAACTCCGTGGGTGAGTACTTAAGAGACACCACCAATGCCCAGAGCATGTCCTCACAAGAACTCCACGTGGGACAGTTCTCGGGCATAACCCAAGGGTATCCCCAAAGAGGATATAGACCACCCCGGGTCTCGGGCTTCTTACGACAAGTCGTGACGTCCTTAAGAGGGATGCGGTGCGGCGCGAGAAGTACACACCGAGCAGCCTACAAGTTGTCAACAAACAATTGTTCTTTCTGAACAAGGGTACGTTCGTAGATGCCCCTAGAAGTGTGGCCGCCCACAAGGCCACGAGGAGCGACGAAAAGCTCTAAGAAGAGGTCAGCCCCAGAGCTCTCCTCGGGAGGCCAATACCCTCTTGAGTTGATGGCAGCTCCCTGGCTAACGGGTGCCACCACCGAACCCCCACGCACACGCTGGGCAGCTTGGAAATCCTCCTGCTGCTGGTCGAGATCATTCGTGACCTCCCGGGGCTCAGAAATAGCACCCTCCTCCTCCTCTTCTTCCTCTTTCTCCTCCTCTTCATCCGAGGAGTCGAAGATACTCTGGTAGGAGTGTTGAGTCTCCTTCTCCTCGCGGAGTGGAGAGTTAGAGGCTGTACGCTTCTTTGAAGAATTGGCGCCTTCGGCTTTAGAGGCCTTAGCACGCGCAAGACCCTCGGCAAGCGAGAGACGTTTGCGAGGATTCTCTTCATCATCGCCACCGGCTTTGGGAGTGCCCTTAGCCTTGACGGCCGGACTCTCTGAGCGCACAGACGTCCTGGGACTGTGATCACCTTGATCACTAGCGAGCGACTGCACGCTGTCATCCTTGTGCTCGCTGGGCACTGGGCTGTTCCCTCCCACAGAGCCCGCAGGAGCATCGTGCGTGCTCTCGGACTCGGCTTCGTCCTCACTGCCAGAGCTGAACTCACGTTCTACGAACCGAGGGCTCGGACGATTGTCTGGAGAGGCCGAGGGCGATGGGCTGCGGCGCTTGCTTGCCCGCTTGACCAGAGCCGCGTCACCAGAGGAATCGATCGCCTCGGAGGCCACCTGAGTAGCCTCCTTGAGTGCCGAGCCTTTGCCGTGAGGCTTAGTGCTCTTGGCTTGCGCCTTACCGGCCGCAGCCTTGGAGCGTGTCTTAGCACCGTGCTTTGCTGTGCCACGAGGCATGGTGACGGTTGAAGTGAAGACCTAGACGAAGAGCGAACATATTGCTGCTCGAGGCTCTAACTGTGAAGTGAGCCTCCGCCGCGCTCGCGCGGCCAAGTCGATGGTTTTCGACTTTGAGAATGAGAGTTTGTGACGAGCACCTCTTCATTCTGATTGGTCGGTAAACCGGACCTAAGTGGGGGAGGATGTAACGGGGTACGTAGCCCTAAGTGTACCCTGGTTACATGAAGTGTGACACTTCACACTTCAGGAGTATGACACGTCATACTTCGGGATATTTGGTACAAAGTACCAAGGTCATTCAAAGCCAAACATTGGTTAACGACATTGCATTTCTATAGGTGACTTATAGTTTGTATTAAACCCGAGCTGTATCTACCTATATATACTCAGTTTACATTCTACCTTAATTAGGTCACTTCGCTCTCTTTTAACTTAGAAGGGGACCTGTGAGCTGCCGTTCACTGAGAGTTTGTATACTCTCGGAAGATAACTTCCTCTAGCGCAAGGTGCTGTGTGACCCCGTCACACAGCTAAAGACAAATACATGGTACAATACCTGCCTGCTAAGAAGACGATACCTGCTCAACCTCTTTGGGGCCCTCCTGCTTGCCAAGCCGACACACAAAGTTCTGAATCACTTTGACTTTTGCTTAAGTTGCGCACACACGACTATTCCAGGTATCCAGGTTTTCTACATGTATACCTGCGTAATATTTGGACGGAAATATTTCTTATAAACTACCGGTCGGTGCAGAAAAGATGTGAAACCTGGAGATACCGGTAGTAGCATCTAAGTAAACCTAATCACTGAAAAGAAACCGGTATCTGCGACACCTGGACAAGAAGAGGATGAGCGTCTTGTCCAGGTGTCGCAGATACCCGAACCATCGTTGGAGTGGTGGCGCGTGGGTGCGTTCTGGCAGCTGCTGCACCAATGTATTCGTTTCATGTAGCTAACACCACAACTTGTGGTCCACAAGTACCTAAAGCAATGTCGTGGCGTCGCGTGCCGCTCATGTCTTCAGTGAGCCACTTCGCTTCCCCCCACGTTAACTTAGTTTGCAGATTGACGTAGGACGAATCTAGTCTCAATTGCTACCATGAAGCTTCTCCAGGTCATTACATTCGTGTCCGCAGCAGTGTCGTTGTCGACGAGCGCTTACGGCCACTCATCAAACGCTTTAGCCGGTGAAACTGCTGCGTCCGTCGTTGAGTCAAGCACGGACCCAACTGCCGACCAGAGGAGCCGCAGAACCAGTATTCGTGCGGACATCAACACTTATCCGTACGGCGCAAAGAAGTCTGACGTAGCTGTGGACGATGGTGACGCCCCTCGTCGTTTTCGTCGACGCCTGACGCTCAAGGAGGAAGAAGAGATTGAAGAGGACTTGGAGAAGGTTGAAAAGAAGAAGAAGGCTGCCAAGAAGCGGGTTGACGAAGCCACTGAAGAGATCGAAGAGGGACTGGAAAACAGCAACGACGATGAGGTTGACGACGGTCTCAAAGAGAAGCGCGAGGCCGAAAAGGATGTAGAGGATGCCGAAGTTGAAGAAAAGGTGGACGAGGACCTCGAAGAGATTCAAGTGGAAGAGGAGGTGGAAAAAATGGAAGAAGACGAAGAAAAAGCTTCGAGCAAGAAGTCCAAAAAGGCCAAGACGGACGACGAGGATACGGACGACGACACCGAAGACGATGACGACGACCAAGAGGCTCAAACGACCAAGAAATCCTCCAAAAAGACCAAATCCGACGAGGAGACGGATGAGGATGACAATGGCGATGGCGATGACGAAGAAGCCCCTGCTAAAAAGTCTAAGAAGTCCTCAACTAAGTCCAAGACAGATGAGGATGAGGACGAGGAAGATGAAGCTCAACGCCGACGTCTGACGGAGAGCGACGAAAAGGAGCTGGAGGAAGATATGAAACAAGTTAAGAAAAAAGAGAAGGCCGCAAAGAAGAAGATGGAAGAGGCCACGGAAGAGATCGAGGAGGGGCTGGAGAACAGCAACGACGACGAGGTTGACGAAGGCCTCGAGGAAAAGCTGGAGGCCGAGAAGGAGGAAGAAGAGGCCGAAGTGGAAGAAAAAATGGACGAGGATCTTGAAAAGATTCAGAAAAAGGAGGCGGCGGAGAAGCAGAAAAGCGCTGACGACGAAGAAGAAGACGAGGAGGAGGACGAAGACGAAGACGAAACTCCGGCCAAGAAAAAATCGTCCAAGTCGGCAACAAAGTCGAAATCTGTCGATGACGACGAAGAGCGGGACGACGATAAGACGTTCAAGAAGTCTTCCAAGAAGTCCAAGGCTGACGAAGAGGCCGAGGAAGAGGCTGAAGAGGAGCTGGAGGAGGAGCTGGAAGAAATCGAGGAAGAAATCGAGGAAGAAGAAGAGGCCGAGAAAGCCAAGAAAGCCAAGAAATCGACGCACAAATCCAAGACTGACGAGGAAGAAGAGGAGGATGACAAGACCCGCCGTCGTCATCTCCGAGGTCTGTCGACTATTAATGAACAGGAGGTTGAGACCGACATGGACAAGGCTAAGAAAGCTGAAAAGGAGGCGAAGGCCAAGGAGGCCGAAGCTGACGAGGATATCCAAGAGGGACTGGAGAATAGCAACGATGATGAAGTGGACGAGGCCATGGCAACAAAACTTGCCGCCGAAAAAGAGGAGAAAGAGGCTAAAGAGGAAGAGGAGGCGGATGAGGATCTTGAAGAAGCGGAGCTGGAAAAAGAGAAGCAAATGGGAGATGCTGAAGACGGTGAGGAAGAAACTGAGGAGGAGGAGGACACTCCCGCTAAAACAACGCCGAAGCCAGCCAAGTCGTCAACCAAGTCGAAGTCTGCCGAGTCTGCCAAGGAGTGGGAACAGGGCGAAGACGATGACACTCCGAGCAAGGCGCCCAAAAAGTCCACTAAACCTGCTAAAAAGTCCAACGCTGAAGACGAAGATGCGGAGGAGGCTCAGAAGGAAGATGAAGAGAAACAAGAAGCTGAAAAGTCCAAGCAGGTGGCGGCTTCAAAGAAGAATAAGGCTAAGGCTGAAGACGAAGAGACCGAGGATGGAGACGACGACGAAGAACAACAGGCTCCAGCTAAGAAGTCCAGTGCCGGGAGGTCCTCGAAAAAGTCCGAGGCTGAGCAAAGCGAGGACGATGACGAGGATGAAGCCGATGAAGAAGAAGAAGAGCAGGCTCCAGTCAAGAAAACCAGTAAGACCTCAAAGAAATCCAAGGCTGAAGACGAGGAGCAGGATGAGAACGAGAAGTAATAGCCGCGACCGAATTGTTTTTCAATGTGAAGAGACTACTATACATACATGTACTACATGATTTTGCGCTGTTGGTGCGTATGAATCCATTGCGCGATTCTACAATTTCTTAAAGCTTCAACACTTTGTACCTAAAGTACCGCACAAACGTTGCTCGCATTCCCATCTTGGCACTGATCCTGCTGTAGCTCCGGATGGTGGTGCTTAAGTGCATTTTGGCTGAAATTTTACGTTTGCATATGCTCTATTATGCTATCACCACAAAACGCAATTCAGAAACAAAGCGAAGATAACAGACAGCAATGTGTAGCGTCGAACTCCCACTCAAGAGACCACTTTAACTATTCCCGGCCCTGATTGTTCGCCGCTCGACGCAGGGCGAATCCCTTTTTACCCGTTGCGATGAAGCTCCTGCAGGCTTCGTCACTCATATCCGCCGCGCTGGCGCTATCGACGCGCGTCTACGGCTACTCGTTCAATGACTTTGCAAAAAAAACTAATGCGCCGGTCGTGGAGGTAAGCACTGGCCTAACAGCTGACCAAGAGAGTCGTATTATCGGCGGTGCAGACGCGGATATTGACAATTATCCGTACGTCGCGAGCGTGCGTATCGACGGCGTGACGGTATGTGCAGCCACGCTCATTGCCCCGCAGTACCTCCTGACGACGGCACACTGCGTCAAGACGGACGAGATTGCAATGACTGCTTCCTTCGATACGGAGTACAGCTTTGGCAATGATGGCGAACAGGTGAAGATCGTCAAGGGATATAAGCACCCATTGTACAATAAGAAGAAGAAACTGTACGACGTGGGGTTGCTTAAACTAGAGAAGCCTAGGAAGGAAAAGCTCGCGGCTCTGCCTGCCGCTGACGGTTCGGATGAGAAGGTCGGTGCGAGAGCCACCGTTCTCGGCTGGGGTCAAACGAAGGCAGCTTCTAGCAGCTTTAAGCTTCAGCAGGCCAACATTCCTATTATCTCGAATAAGGAGTGCAGCAAGTTCAAGTCATACAAGAACGAGCTCACGGAAGGTATGCTCTGCGCAGGCAATGGAAAAGGCAAGGGCTCGTGCAGAGGCGACTCCGGTGGTCCTCTTATTGCCAACGACGTCCTTGTGGGGTTCGTGAGCTGGGCTGGTGGCAAGTGTGGCAAGGAGCCTGGCGTGTACACCCGCGTGTCGTACGTGCTGGACTACATTAACGACATTCTGGAAGGTGGCGATGGCAAAAAGTTTGGCTCAACCAGAGTGTCCGCGGGATCGCCAAACAACGCTGCCAGCAAGTCAGCGAAATCTACAGCATCGAAGACTATTGCGCCGAAGGCTACAATCGAGCCTTCCACGGGCTCGTCAACCACCCAACAGACTGATGGTCTGACATTTGAGTTTGACGGATCCACAGCAACACAACAGGGCGGTGCGACCACCAAGCAGTAGTCGTCATCGTCGACAATAACATAATTGAGGTTTGTCTTTGGGTGCACCTCCTTCAATGTACATACGCATAGCTGCAGCCACGATGTGGAGGATGTTCAATCCACTACGTTGCAGCTAGCCACAGCATTTTGATTCTCACACAGTATTACTACGCGTAGAAGTTAACTGTAAGTAGTAAGAAAATCTAGTGTATCCAAGCTACGTACTTGTAGTAGTACATGTTTGCACAAGGTTTCAATAGAGAAATAGTACTAGAAGTACTTCGAGGTAGTACGTAGTAGTTCATTAAAACCAAACAAATACTTCACAGTGCAGTTTGCGCATCAACATGGCAATTCAAAATCGTTTACAGTACTTTGGTTCCTCACATGCAACACACATTCTGGCCGTGGCAATCACTACTCGTCGGTCTCGTCTTCAGTCTTGGATTTCTTTTTGGCTTTCTTTGCTTTCTTGGCTTTCTCGGCCTCTTCTTCTTCCTCGATTTCTTCCTCGATTTCTTCCAGCTCCTCTTCAGCCTCTTCCTCGGCCTCTTCGTCAGCCTTGGACTTCTTGGAAGACTTCTTGGACGTCTTATCGTCGTCCCGCTCTTCGTCGTCATCGACAGATTTCGACTTTGTTGCCGACTTGGACGATTTTTTCTTGGCCGGAGTTTCGTCTTCGTCCCCCTCCTCGTCTTCTTCGTCGTCCTCAGCGCTTTTCTGTTTCTCCGCCGCCTCCTTTTTCTGAATCTTTTCAAGATCCTCGTCCATTTTTTCTTCCACTTCGGCCTCTTCTTCCTCCTTCTCGGCCTCCAGCTTTTCCTCGAGGCCTTCGTCAACCTCGTCGTCGTTGCTGTTCTCCAGCCCCTCCTCGATCTCTTCCGTGGCCTCTTCCATCTTCTTCTTTGCGGCCTTCTCTTTTTTCTTTACTTGTTTCATATCTTCCTCCAGCTCCTTTTCGTCGCTCTCCGTCAGACGTCGGCGCTCACGACGGACCTTGCAGCCAGACGTAGATGGAGTCAGCTGGGACGTCGAGCCCGTCGCCGAAGTCGACACATCCACATCAGTACTGGGAGTAGATGCAGGAGTCACCGCAGGAGTTACGGCAGGAGTATCCACCGACGTGTCGCTGGAGCTCTCAGTGGTTGATGGCGAACCAGAGCTAGAGCTAGAAGACAGCAATAAATCATCAGTCAAAGAAGACCCAGCGAAAGTACCACCGTCGGGGCCGGTGACGGCAGCTGGGGTCGCTGCAGGGGCTTCCGTCGTCTCTGATTGTGTCACAGACGATTCACTGGAGCTCTCCGTCGTTGGTGACCCGGAACTCGACGTGCCACCTGCGTTTGATCCAGAGGTAGCAGCTGGTGGTCGCCGCAGGAGCTTCCGTCGTCTCCGAATTGTGTCACGGATGAATCACTGGAGCTCTCCGTCGTCGACGATCCTGAGCTAGTAGTCGAAGTTCCTGCGGTAGAGCTTTCAGTAGTGGAGGACCCCACCGCTGGGCGCAGTTGGGGTTGAGCTCGAACTAGACGCAAGTGAGGAGCTTGCACCTGATGTCTCGGGTGATCCAGCACCCGACGATTGTGTAGCCGACGAGCCAGTAGTAGATGACGCAAGCGACGTCTCCTGCGTAGGCGATCCAGACGACGCCGTGCTGTCGGTGAAGTTGCTACCCGTACCTCCGTTCAAAATGTCGTTAATGTAATCCATGACGAACGTTAGACGAGTGTACACACCAGCGTGGACACCGCATTTGCCTCCCCAACTGACGAAACCAATCAGAGTGTCATCACTTGTAACCAGCGGCCCGCCTGAGTCTCCGTTGCAAGAGTCTTTACCACCGCCATTTCCAGCGCACATCATTCCTTCCGTGATGCGGTTGTTGTACTGCTTGTTGCACTCCGCATTAGAGATAACAGCCACGTTCACCTCCTGAAGCGTGTGACTCTCTGATCCGTCCTCAGTCATTCCCCATCCTAAAACAGTAGCCTCTGTGCCGACCGGATTGTCGGAGCCGTCAGCGGCACATACCGTCGCTGTCTTCTGCTTGGAAGGCTTCTCAAGCTTCAAGAGACCAACATCGTACAAGTGCTTCTTCTGATTGTACATCGGATGCTGGTACCCTTTAATCACCTTAATCGCCTCGCCTGTCTTGGAACCTGCGCCAAACTCCGTGCCAAGGTGGGCAATAATGGTGTCCTCCTCCGTCTTGATACAGTGGCCAGCAGTCAAAATGTACTGAGGGGCAATCAGTGTTCCGCCACAGAATGTATAGTCCAGAAGCTCGAGCCGGAGACTCGCAATGTACGGATAGTTTTCGATATTGGCCTCGGAGCCGCCGTAAATGCGGCTCTCCTGGTTGACGGTGAGCCCCGTGTTCTCAATAGGAGCTTTAGTGGCCTGGTTGTCCGAAAATGTGTAAGCATTTGCTACGGCAAAGAGTGTCGACGCGAGCGCGAGGACCTGAGCAATCTTCATACCGATGAGGCTCGACGAACTCAGTGGGGAAAACTCGAAGTGACAGCATGCAGGAGGTTATGCATGGACGCTCTAACCACCTGCTATGTACATGAAGTCAGCTTTATTGGGAACGGCGTTACCGCAACCATCCAACGACAACACAACAAGAAATAGTGCAACCATATCTCCTAAAGCAACCTCAAAACATATGTTTGTCCTGGTATTTTAATATTTGTTGCACTACGGTAAATTACGAGGCATATGTACATGTACACAACACTACATGCGAGTACACCACACATTTCTCACACTTCGATATACAGGCTTCACGACGATGGATAAAAGATCGCTGTCCAGCGAACTGATACGCGCACGGCGAGAAGAGCTCACGGACACAAAGCGCAAGCTGGAGGAGATCGGGGAGATACTGGAGCAAATACTGAGAGTACAGATGGAGTTAATGGCTCGAATTGAAGAGAACGAGGAAGGCCTATACGCTTTGGATTATGATTTGGACGTTGTGGGTGTGACGGGGTCACACAGCACCTTGCGCTAGAGGAAGTTATCTTCCGAGAGTATACAAACTCTCAGTGAACGGCAGTTCACAGGTCCCCTCTTTAATTAAAGAGAGCGAAGTGACCTAAATAAGGTAGATTGTAAACTGAGTATATTTATAGGTAGGTTAAGTTTGAGGTTAATACAAACTATCAGTTACCTATAGAAATGCAATGTCATTTAACCAATGGTTGGTTTTGAATGACCTTGGTACCTTGTACCAAATATCCCGGAGTATGACATGTCATACTCCTGAAGTGTGAAGTGTCACACTTCATGTAACCAGGGTACACTTAGTGCTACGTACCCCGTTACATCCTCCCCCACTTAGGTTCGGTTTACCGACCAATCAGAATGAAGAGATGTTCGTCACAAACTCTCATTCTCAAAGTCGAAAACCATCGACTCGGCCGCGCGAGCGCGGCGGAGGCTCACTTTACAGTTAGAGCCTCGAGCAGCAACCTGTGCGCTCTTCGTCAAGGTCTCCACTTCGACCGTTAACATGCCTCGTGGCACTGCTAAGAGCGGTGCTAAGACACGCTCCAAGGCTGCAGCCGGTAAGGCGCAGGCCAAGAGCACTAAGCCTCACGGCAAAGGCTCTGCACTTAAGGAGGCTACTCAGGTGGCCTCCGAGGCTATCGGATCCTCGGGTGACGCGGCTGCGGACAAGCGCGCAAGCAGGCGCCGCAGTCCGTCGCCCTCGTCTTCAGACAATCGTCCGAACCCTCGGTTCGTAGAACGTGAGTTCAACTCGGGCAGTGAGGACGATGCCGAGTCCGAGAGCACTCATGATGCTCCTGCGGGCTCTGTGGGAGGGCACAGCCCAGTGCCCAGTGAGCACAAAGAAGACAGCGTGCAGTCGTCCGCTAGTGATCACGGTGATCACAGTCCCAGGACCTCTGTGCGCTCTGAGAGTCCGGCCGTTAAGGCTAAGGGCACTCCCAAAGCCGGTGGCGATGAGGAAGGGAGTCCTCGCAAACGTCTCTCGCTTGCCGAGGGTCTTGCGCGCGCTAAGGCCTCTAAAGCCGAAGGCGCCAAGCCCTCAAAGAAGCGTACCGCCTCTAAGTCTCCACTCCGCGAGGAGAAGGAGACTCGACGCTCCTATCAGAGTCTCTTCGGCTCCTCGGATGAAGAGGAGGAGAAGGAGGAAGAAGAGGAAGAGGAGGGTGCCATTGTTGAGCCCCGGGAGGTCTCGAATGACCTCGATCAGCAGCAGGAGGATTTCCAAGCTGCCCAGCGTGTGCGTGGGGGTTCGGTGGCGGCACCCGTCAGCCAGGGAGCTGCCATCAACTCAAGAGGGTATTGGCCTCCCGAGGAGAGCTCTGGGGCTGACCTCTTCTTAGAGCTTCTCGTCGCTCCTCGTGGCCTTGTGGGCGGCCACACTTCTAGGGGCATCTATGAACGAGCCCTTGTTCAGAAAGAACAGTTGTTCGTCGACAACGTGGAGGCTGCTCGGTGTGTGCTTCTCGCGCCACACCGCATTCCCCTTAAGGACTTCACGACTTGTCGTAAGAAGCCCGAGACCCGGGGTGGTCTCTATCCTGTTTGGGGATACCCCTGGGTTATGCCCGAGAACTGTCCCACATGGAGTTCTTGTGAGGACATGTTCTGGGCGTGGGTGGAGACTCTCAAGTACTCGCCCACGGAGTTATGGGAACTCCATGAAGATCAGCAGCTGTCCCACATCCTGGACCAGCGTGATCTTCGTGTGAGGTTTGCCCACTTGATCAGCAAGCGTATGCTGCCAAGGGACATCCTGAAGCGCGCGGCTTCTAGCGCTCACGATGAGCGCGGGTACGGTATGTATTCATCATCCGTACCCCGTTCGGGCAAGAAGCCCCGGACTACTTATGAAGCTGCCGCCGCTTCTGTTCCCAGATTGCGACAGCCTTCGGGCAGTCAATCAGGAGCCGTTCAATCGGCTCCCACGAGTTCTCGGAGTGGGCATAACCCCTCCACTTCACGAGGAGCTGTCGCTTCCCGCGACACCGTTGCTCCTGGAGGATCCGCTCCACGTGGAAGTGGACTTCTCCATTCCGGTCAAGCAGGGGCGGAGGTGCCCTCGTACGAGTACGAGTACTCGGCGCCTCCCGAGAGCCACTCTCGTTCGAGTGCTCCGACTGCGGGTCCGACACGGGACCCTGAGGTTGACCGCCTCCGTCAACGTCTCCTCGTGCTTGAGATTGCACTTGGCCTTGGGACTGGCGGTAATGCTGCCGCCCAGGCCGGGAATCAGGGCGAGCTCGCTCGTCTTGCGGGTCGCCTGGACCTGGTGGAGCGAGAGGTCGCGAGCCTGCACCTGCGGGTGGACCGCCGGGCCTCTTCGTCCGATCTGGACGAGGCCTTTCGCATGATCCGACGGATCGAGGCTTTGTTGCCACGTCCGGAGCCGCCTGCGGCACACTCCCAGACGTACACGTATGGTGCGTACCCGGCGTACTCAGCGTACTCGGCGTATGGCGCCGGGGTCCGTTCGTATGGAGCCCCTCCGGCGTACGGTCTTGACCGCAGCCTTGCCGTCCCGACCGAGGCTTGGGTGCCTGCTCCGACGCCCTCGTCGACGACTGTGACCGGCCCTCGCTTCGAGGAGCTGGGTCAAGGGGGGTCTGCGAGTCAGCAACCCCCTGCGGGTCAAAGTACCGCTTAAGACGTCCGACATAGAACGTCGGGTGCGTCGTCATTGACTTTGGAAGGTCGATGGTGTACGACGCACCATGTCTGGCCAGGACTGCAAAAGGTCCGATGAAGCGGTGCTTCAGCTTGTTGCTGCCGACAGAGCTAACAGTGTCTAGAGGTAGGTTCCTCGTGTCTAGTAACACTAAGTCACCAATCTCAAATATACTTAAGTTTCCTCTTCCTTGTTTGTCCGAGTACTCCTTTTGTTTATCTTGGGCCGCTGCCATGGCATCGCGGACCCTGCTGACAATGTTCAGCTTGGTATCCATAAAGGATTCCACCTGTTTCCGCAGCGAAACTGGCCTCACATCCGAGACCTGGGAGGAAAGGGCTTTCCGAGCCTCTCCCCCACTTAGAATAGAGGAGTCAGTGTTTCTTCGAAGAGTGAGAGGCACTCTGGGGTGGCGGAAGCCGTTCAAGTAGAACGGCGTGAACCCCGTGGACGCGTGCACCGCGTTGTTGAGCGCAAACTCAACAACTGGAAGCTGCGTCGACCACGTACGTGGCGCTGCCGCGCACACACTGCGCAGAGTGTCCTCGAGCACTCGATTGACGCGCTCTGTTTGGCCGTATGTCTGCGGATAATCCGCAGTGGACATCTGCAGACGAGTTCCCAGTAAAGGGAACAGCGTTTTCCAAAACGCAGCAGTGAACCGCGGGTCTCGGTCCGAGACAATCGTCTCCGGGAGACCGTGATAGCGGAACACGCCATCGACGAACAACCTTGCGGTTTGTTCGCCTGTCACAGTGACGGGAACTTAAGCAAGATGTACCATCTTGCTCAGCCGACACACGAACACCAAAATTCCGGTGTTGCCGTGTCCGTCGGCGGGAAGCCCAAAGATGAAGTCAAGACTCATCGACTTCCAACAATCAGCCGGTACGGGCAGGCTCTGTAGTGGAGCCGAAGAGTGCCCTGCGGGTTTAACCCGCTGACATGTTTCACATGTCTTGACGTACCGGGCGACCCACTTGTACATGTGGGTCCACCAGAAGGACTGAGAGACCGACAGAAATGTCTTCTCGCGGCCCAAGTGGCCGCTGGAGGGCGCGTCATGCGCCTCCGCGAGGATGTCGAACTTCAGATCCTCGTCGTTGGGTACGACCACCCGTGGAGGATCAGTGGGCTCCACCCGATAATAGAGGAGGCCCTCCTTCAACTCATATCGGTGGAGCCGTGAGCGCTGTCGCGACGAGAGCCAGTCGGACTTCGCGCTCATTCCGGCCTTAAGGAACTTGACGATAGGCGCGACAGCCTCATCGTCCCGATACGCCATGCGTATCCGATCATATAGATCCGTTGTCACCCGCGTGATGTGGGCCAACTCATAGTCGGGACGCCTAGAGAGGGCGTCCGCAAGCACGTTGAGCTTGCCCGGCTTGTACTCGACGCGGAAGTTATATTCCGCGAAGAAGGA